CATATGCAAATTTAAAACACATATGTTTTATCTAATGAAAAATAAATGTTTGAAAAAATATTAAAAATAGAATATTTATTACATAAAACCAACTCAATTAATAGTTATATAAAAATATTACATGTATAAAATATATATTTGAATATGCCATATCATACTTATTCACATTTAAAATTTAAAAGATGAATTTTCGTCATTAAATCTTATTTTTTTTAACATAATAAGGAGTTATTGATATGTGGCAAATGTTAACTAATGCTTTTGGGACACTCTTTAAGTGTTTAAAATGATAAATTTTTTTTAGAAATGCATGTATTTAATGTATTGAAATTTAAAATTATTAAATTTTGTAAAAATTATTTTTTATATTTGATATCTTTAAAGAGTATTCTTAGATTACTCGCAATGGGGTGTTGAATAAATTTTTCAATAGTTGAATTACTTCGGTGAATTGTTGAATAAGGTGTTGAGTGTGACATAGATTAATTTGTGTTGAAAACATTCTAAGAATGAGAAATGAGTGGATGTCACTTATAATACTTCGTAAAATATAATTTATTGTTGTGATTGTTTATATTTTTATCTCACCTAAATTATTTAGAGTCAATTATTTTATAGAAAATCAATTTTTATTTATTTTCATTTTCACCAAAATTCATCATTTTTTTTTGGATCTATAAATAGAGCATTGGTTCATTTGATTTGGACAAAGAAAAAAAATCTATTTTTTCTCTCTAATTTTTCTATTTAGCCTCTAATAAATTATTGTTTGTAGTTCTAAATAATTTTTTAGTGAAATGAATTCCAACAATAACCCTCTTAACACCCAAAATTCTATCCTTTCAACTACCCAAATCCCAACTATGCATTTTAAGTTTTTTGTAATTACGAATATAAAATTAGAGAAAAAAATTAAAATTAATTTTTAAATTAATTTTTTTTTATTTAACTCTTAATTATTTTAATTTAATTTCAATTGATAATTATTATTAATATATAATCAAAAAACAAAAATATAAAAAAGAAAATAAAAATATGAAATAAAAGTGATAGAGTAAGGTGTTGAGTTTTATTAAACAAAATCATTATAGTGAGTAAAAGTTGATTGTGTGTTGAATTATTAGGTGAAAGAGAGAGAAGATAATGTGAAATGTAAAAAATGAAAAAAATAAATATTGAATAATTTTGTCATAGTCTTACAAAATTATGTTAGTAAATTCTGATCTTGGACAGTTTATTCCTTGCTTTATTCTTCAAAGGTGGTCTTGCAGGGCACCGTGGTAATATGACCACATAAGCAATATTAAAACAAATTATATAATAAAAAATTAATCTATAACAATAAATGTAATTAGTTAGTAAATATAATAGTTTTATTTTCCAACATTAAATATTACACTTTTATTCTTCAACGGTAAAAACTTGTATAATTTTCAAACAGTCATTTTTAAAATCAACATTGTGGCTTTACAATGTAACAACTCAATTTTCAAACGGTCATTTTTTTTGATTTTTTTAAAACTTACATATTTAACTTTAAAATTTATTTCATTTCATTCAAGAAAATTTCATCTTATTTTTTTCAATGAACTCCAACCATCATAATTTTTAGTTTAATTTTATATAAAATGGTGACAATCCTCCTTCTATCTCGAATCTATAAAACTTCACGTATTTTAAAAATGCATCTCATAATCTAAATTCACACCATAATCCAAAATTTCAAAATTCTATTTTTATCCCAAATCCACAAAATAACCCATACTTTAGAAATTTCACACATCAAATGCCATATTTTCCAGATCAATATCAACAACTTTCATCTCAATCGTCTAATCCTATTATGCCTCGTGAAGTTCATATGGATACTAGTGGTGTAAAATAAAATGACCAAGAGTCTGAAATATCACAATTTTTCACTCAAGATGGTTTGGAAACTATCAACCTTGATGAAGATGTTGGAATCACATCGGTTGTAAATATGTCGAAAACAAGATTTCAACCAAAGGAGGGTGAACTTCTCATTCAGTCATAGCTCAACGTTTCAAAAGATTCAATTGTTGGGGTTGATAAAAAAAAGAGATAGCTTTTGGAAGAGAATTGGTGAAGCTTATAATAAGCATCGCGACAAGATTTTTCAAGAGAGGAAACCAATGATATTAAAAGCTCTGATACCAGATGTTGAGAATCCACCAAAACCTATGATGAATTTCTACCAATCTTGACGAACAGGATTGATATCACCACACAATGACAATGAAAAATATAAAAGAAAGAAGAACAAATATATTTTCTACAGAGTTTCTCTCTGTCCACAAATTGTGAAAAACTTTATTACTCACTTGCAACTGCAACTACCGTGAATGACTTACTTGATTACAAAAATAGGGGTTACTCCATTTATTTATATATTTATGTTAGCTTTCTCCATGAGCCAAAGCTCAAAACTATAAAAAGCCCAAAATACCTATTTTGGTACTAAATCAAATATATTATATTTTAGACTTAAATCAAATCTATCTAAATCTAAAACAACTCAAATTTGTGTGCAGCCTGCTTCGATACACAAGCTCTTCACTAGGCAACCTCCCTTCGACACACACAGTTTTGACACAATCGAATTACAATTTAACATGTTGAGAATAAAGTGTGAGGAAGAAGTCTCACATTGGTTAGAAAAGAGAAGATTGAACACTATATAAGTGAGAGAACCCACACACCTATCACCTTAAGATTTTAGGTGGATAATTGATGTGTCTCTCATAAAGGTGCTTAGTCTTACACTATGTATCAATTCTCCTAATGAACCCGCTAACAGTGGTATCAGAGCCTCTGGGTTCGAGATAAGGATCTGCTTACTTGTATCTAAACACTTCCCGCAGGTGGTGGGTAGAAGGTGTTATATTGAGTGTCAACGGTGATACAAGTGCATGTAACGATGGTACAAGTGAATGTGGAAGAGAAAGCTTCCACATTAGGGGGAGCATTATAAATCACACTTGAGGAGAAGTGTTAAGAAGCAAGTGTGAGGAAGAAGTCTCACATTGATTAGAAAAGGGAAGATTGAACACTATATAAGTGAGAGAACCCACACACCTATGACCTTAAGGTTTTATGTGGATAAGTGGCGTGTCTCTCACAAAGGTACTTAATCCTATACTATGTATCAATGCTCCTAATAAACCCCACCAACACCTTCTATTAATAAATTTGTTAGGTGATACAAGCAAGCCATAAATAAAAAAAAAGTGGGAGCTCCGAGAGCAACATCATTTCAACTGCATATGATATTTATTACCAAGACGAGCATGAAAAATTTACATTTGAGAGTGCATGGAGATTATTGAAAGATGAACCCAAATGACTTGCGGGTTCATCCAAACCTTCTACAAAAAGAATAAAAAATTCGGCTTCTGGAGCATATTCTTCATCTTCTAACCCTCCAACACCAACAAGCAACTAATGCAATTCAATTCACCATCACCTTCTTCGTTATGTTGACCAATCGATCAAAAGACAGCAAAAAGAAAGGAGAAATAAAAGCTAGTGGAAAGATCAATGCCCGATGTCAAATTTAATACTTTATAAGATGACTTCCAAAAAAATGAATTGATGTCACAGTTTACACATGATTATGTACGTATTAAGAGTGAAAAAGTTGAGATAGAGAAGAACAGAATCGATGCAGGGAAACATAAGGCTGAGAGAGATATGGTAAGATTGAAGATAAATGATTTGCAAATACTTTCAAAAGATACATCATACATGGATTCAAGACAACTGCAAGCTCATGAGTTATTGTGTGACATGATTAGAAGAGAATATGGGCTTGATTAATATGATTATGTCTGTTGAATAGTTTTTAATATATCACTAATTATTTTTAGATTCATCTGTATTTTTAGTATTCAATTTGTAGCCGTTATTCAAAGTCAATATTATTCAGACTAACTGTTATTCAAACTAGCCGTTATTCAAACTAGCTGCTATTCAAACTAGCCGTTATTTGTAGCTCTATAAATACTCTTAACACGAGTAATAAGCTTCACACTCTTTTCCAACTTATCTTCCTCTTAATTCAATATTAGAATTCTCTTCACATGGATCCTTCCAACCCTTTCCACATTGCAAAAATGTTCATGGATTATATGAATGATGGCATGGATGAAGAACTTGTGAGACTTTACTTTGAAAGTGAAGCCCAAGAAGAAGTTGCGAGTTCTAGCAGGCCTAGACGCCTGAGAAGAAATATAGAGAGGAATCATGAAGAAGGACATGCATGTTTATTCAATGATTGTTTTTCAGAAGCATCAGTGTACACAGATGAGCAGTTTCATCGAAGATATCAAATGCATAAACATGTATTCCTTCGTATCGTTGAAGCTCTTGGTCAACATGATGAGTATTTTCAACTTAAGGTTGATGCAACTGGTAGATCAAGTCTTTCACCACTACAAAAGTGAACTGCAGTTATTCGTATGTTGGCATATGAATCATCTGCTGATAGCGTAGATTACTATTTGAGAATTGGTGAAACAACAACACTAAAATGTGTTGATAAGTTTACAAGAGGTGTTATTAGTGTATTTGGGCCACAATATCTGCGACAACCAACTATTGAAGACGTCGAATATCTGCTGCAAATGGGGGAGGCACGTGGCTTTCCAGGTATGTTGGGGAGCATTGATTATATGCATTGGGAATGAAAAAATTGCCCTGATGCTTTGAAAGGGCAGTATGTCCGAGGTGATCTTGGTAAGTCTACTGTTATGCTTGAAGCAATCTCTTCACAAGACTTATGAATTTGGCATGCATTCTTTGGGGTAGCTAGTTCAAATAATGATATCAATGTATTAAACCAATTTGATGTCTTCAACGATGTTATGCAAGGGCGAGCTCCCGAGGTCCATTATTCAATTAATGGCACTGAATACAACATGGGTTATCATCTATTAGATGACATTTATCCTGAATGATCAACATTTGTGAAAAGTATCTCAATGCCACAAGGGGATAAGAGAAAATTATTTGCCCAACATCAAGAAGATGGAAGAAAGGATATTGAACGAGCATTTGGAGTTCTCCAATCCCAATTTGTGATCATACGTAACCCAACTCGATCTTGGCACTTGGATGTACTGAAGCGCATAATAGATACGTGCATCATACCGCACAACATGATTATTGAAGATGAACGTGCCACATATGGTGACAATTTTAATTATTCTTATGAGCATTTAGACAGTGACCCGATTGTACCACTAGATGATTCTAATAATGATTTTCAAGAGTTTCTACGCAGAAGACATCATGTTCGTGACAAGGAAATTCATCGACACCTTGAACAAGACTTGATAGAACATATATGAGAACATTTTGGACATGAGAATAATCATAACTAAAAATTATTTTAAGTATTTAATATATTTTATACATATTCAGTATATTTTCTACTATTAATTTATATTAATGTTTACTAATTTTTCAATCTATTTTTATTTTACCTTTATTTATTTATTTTTGGATATTTTAATTTATATTTAATATATATTATTTCCTTTTTAATACATTTTGATATAGTTGAATTAATTTGTTTAAACTATATATTTATATATTAATATAAAATCTAATTTGAAATATATTATAAATTTAGTGAAATCTATTTTAAAATTTTAAATGAATGGTATAAATATTTGAAAAATAAAATTAGATGGTTTAAATAATTGAGAAATATAAAATAATATTTATATTGAGTAGGATCCATTTAAACCACCAAATTAAATGGTAGGGAAGTTGATGCTCTTAGGACACTGGTTAGAATAAAAAAAAAATAGTAGCAAGGACCACTTATATGGACCAAGTGAAGCACACGTCAAAGTTAGGCATGTGGGGTCGCTCCAAGGGGAGCTCATAGGGACCATTTATGTCTTTTGACTTCTACTTCTCTCATACCTGCCTCCTCGATGGCTCAATCTATGCCTCTATTATTTTGCATCCCTTTTACATACTAGAATCAATTACTAGTAGGGGTGTTCAAAACCAAATCGGCCCAATAGAAAATCGTAAAACCGAACCGAACCAAATCGAAACCGTAAAAAACTACATTTGGTTCGAATGTGTTTGTGTCATTTTCTCGTGGAACCGCATGGTTCGGTTCGGTTTGCGGTTTGTATTTTATAAACTGAACCAAACCAAACAAAACCGCATTATGTTATAAAATCTTACTAACCAATATATATTTCTATAATTCTTTAGAGAAATCAACATGTATTATGTATATATTTTATCATACTTTGTATTATATTCATTTTAATTTACAAATCATAAAAAATAAAATATTATTCATTTATAAATACTATTTTCACAAAATATATTTTATCATATTCTTTATATAATATTTATTTAAGAATGCAATCTTGTTGATATTATTATTTAGATTTAAATAAAATTATAATACGCAATTTTATGTATCAAATTATAAATTTATTTTGACAATTATAAATTTTTTATGGTAATATATGAACAATTAAATATAAAATTAAATTTTCCTATATATTTGTATGTATGACATAATAATTATTTTTGTAAAAAACCGAAACAACCGAACCAATTCAAACCGCATTAGTTTGGTTTGGTTTGGTTCGGATTTATTTTTAAAAGTCAACCGAACCGCATATTTTTTTCTCTTGCGGTTCGAATGATTTTTTGCTTCAAAACCGCTCAAACCGCACCGCGAACACCCCTAATTATTAGTATGTTCATGATAAATTGTTACTTCTGTTTTTTTATATAAAGAATACAAATATAATAATTAAAATATACTATATTTTATTAAATTAATTTTATTAACATATTAAAATTATTATATAATAATAATAATTAAAAAATATAATTAAAAATAGAAATTATCTTTATTTATTTATTTTAACATAAATTTTACTTATTAAAACAACATTTATTTTAAAAGTGTAATACTTTTAGTTTTTTTAACACATTAAGATAATCAATAAATATTTTTGTTTTTCCTCTTTTTAATAACATTTTTAATCATAATATTTTATTTCATCTATTTATTTTCATAATAAATGATTAAGTATTTTATTGATAAATTTATAATTAATAATAGATTAAAATTGTAAAACTAAAAGTAATTAAAAACATAATACTTCTATAGATATATCATGTAAAAAGGAACCACAAGTAGTACCAAAAAAAAGGAAGCGAAGGAGTATACTTTAACAAGTTTATAATAGTAGGTTTATAAATTGTTAATATTTTAAATATAATTGTTTAAGAAAAAACCAATTTGCTTGCTATTCATGTTATAGTAGGAAATAGGAATTATGTGTTAAACTCATCTTAAACATATTTCAAAAGGTTCCATTGCTATTCAATGCCACTATAACTATTTAGTAATGTCGAATCATATTTCATTTTCATCACATAAATATTTGTTGATATAATTAAATTCAAAGTATTTTTTTATTTTAAAAAATTATTTTTTATATATAATTTATTATGAATAATTGGATGATTTGTCTTCCAATAACTTTATTATTTATTTAATCAATTTATATTTACTATATTGTTTATATGATGTCTTATAAATAGGATTAATTTTATTGTATATCATTATATCGATGAAATATAATACAAAACTATTTATATTTCTCTCTCTTATTTTTCTTTATTTTATAACGCGTTATCAATACGAAGTTTTCAGGTATATTTTTCTTTATTTGTTTTGATTTTATAAAATATATTAGTTATTCAATCTATTTAATTAGTATAATATCAATTGTGATTTTCATGTATCTCAAAAGGATTGTAGGAAGAATATTAAAATATCTAGAAGGATTTCATAAAGATTGTTTTGTTATATTTATCTAAAAATTTATAATTTATAATATGTTCATAAAAAATTATCATTTTAGAAGACTGACACAAATAATTTTAACGCATTCCAAAAGGATAATTATGGTTATATTTGTTTAGATTACCATTTATAACAATTATTGTAATTCATCCCAGAAGATGATTATATTTTTTAAAATACTTTTACAATGAATAATTTTAACTCATCCTAGAAAGATGACTATATTTATTTTAGATTATTACTTATAAATACATATTTGATCTAATATATTTCAATTGAAAATTATAGCAAAAAGAAATTTAGAAATTTATTTTTAAAAAGAGTTGAACCCAAAAACTTTTAATCTTTGCATTTGATTAAAAGATATGTAATATATTTCTTAGAGAAAAAAAATCAGAACATCCCCTTAAAAGATTCTTCAAAGAATTTTTAAAGATTGAGTATCTAATATATATTTTTTATTGTCTATGATGATTGAGTCATTATTTCCGAATAACTAATATTTTAATATCAAGATATTATGAAGGATTGTAATTTTTTTTAATATTTTGTTGATAGGGAATTTTGGTTGAATTTCATAAGAACTGAGTCATTAAACTATAATTGAAGTTTATAAGATCAATCTAATATACTCCTGAAGTAGCAAAATTAAGAATATATTTTCAAAAACACCATGAAAGATTACTCATAATTTAGATATTCTATTTGATATTCATGTGTTTCTAATAATTTCTTTTAAGAGGAAAATTGCATTAAGAATTGTTAAAAAAAAATATAAAATTGATAGTAATTTGTTATTATTACTCATTATAATTTGGTGTGGTTACATTTTTTAAATTGCATTAATATATAATTGTTATATTAAATTATAACGATTATGCGTTGAATATTCAATTTAATTGAATTTATTATATGTTTGGTGTTAAATTATTTTATCAAAACAAATATCGTTATGTATAATGTATGACTTAACATATTTTTGTATCGATTTGTAAATACTATAAATTTTATTGTTGCTATTAATTTTATAGATTAAGAAACTTTTTTTAAATAATAACGTGTGTTTATTATTTTAAGATAGTTTTTATATGGTTTAATTAATGTCATTTGGTACAACAATTTTAATGATATTATATTTTTTTATTTATATAATATAATAATAACTTATAGTAATTAAGGTTTTTAATTTTTGTTTGAAATTTATTTGATTTATCTGATAAAATAAACTTGAATGAAATTGGTGTGTTTCTAAAGAATAATTTGAGAAATTGAGTTTTTATGACATTAATTATTGCATCGACTAAAAATACATACGTCTATTCACAACTAGAAGTTTGTGAAATTATTTTTTCAACTAATTAGACTAAGATCTTGTTTTCTGGATTTTTTTTAGAAATTCCTGAATTAGTATCACATATATCATTAAAATTGATATTGAACATCATGTAATATATGTTCATAAAAAAATGGACTTGAAGATCCATTCTTTAGACGTCTAAAGTTAATTACATAGTTGATACTTATGAGATAATAAGTTATAAGTTATACAATGGAAACACACATCCATGAATATTTAGATATTTATTCGCATTAAGCCAACACGTTATTATATGTTAATTTTCCAATTAACTTATAAATTATTTTAGGTTATAGCCTTTTGGATGTGTTGTGTATAACTCAATTGCTCCAGTATAGTACGCTAAGATGAATTTTGAAAGAATATTGAGAAAATTCATTTTATATGAATATCGTATTTGAGGTTTATCTTGGTTCGATAATTGGATATGTGCTTGAAGCCCAGTAGACTGATTATCCATTGATAAATTAATTTTCCAACATTAGGGGGAGAGAATAAGTAGCTCAAAGTATGAACCAGAAGTTCAAATGAATAATTTGAAGTAAAATATTATCATATTATTTGATCCTCGAAGTTTAAAACACAATTCATTTGTAAATTTTATGAAATGAATTATTAGTTGCTCATAATCACTCAAAGTGGATTTTCCTATTGGACAATCTAATATTGCAAATGAGTTGTAGCCGCTCTTGAAGCGTGGTAGGAAAGTCAGTTCCAATGTTAAAAGTCTTTTACCAAGAAAAGAAACAAAAAGTTAAAGATGACCCAAATGAGGATATGAAAATTCTAAGAGAATGTTGACATAATTTATTTTTCAGTACTAGAAGAACTAATCAAGTACTTGAAATATGAAATAAAGAGATCTCGATAAATTATGTCATGGATGAAATGGAATGGAACCAAAATTGAGATAACCAAAATAAAGTCAATATTGAAAATGTCTTTGTATATAATATAGCGCTAAAAGGGATCAATGATAATGAGCATCATGAGTCAAAGTCTATTGAAGATTGTAGACAAAGTGAGAATTAAGCAAAAATGATAACGAGGATCATGAGTCAAAGTCTATTAAAGATTGTAGACCAAGTAAAAATTAATTAAAATGAATATATTCAATTGAAGAAGAATTAAACTCATTTTACAAGTGACTCCATTTTGGACATGTAGTC